CCCATCCCATCGTCTTCCCCAGGTGTCTTTCCCCTACTCTCTGAGAACAAGAACACCACACCAATTAGCAGACTGGTTGTCTGGCCTGCCAGAAATGTATTAAATATAAACATCCTCTCATCAGAAACATAATACAAGTTCTAGAAAACTCAAAAGTGTGGGTCCAAGCCCCCAGAGACAAACACCAACAATTAGGGTTATTTCTCCCTCTCTCTCTCTCTCTCTCTCTCTCTGTCTCACACAAACACACACACAAACGTGCGTGCATATGCATGAATGTATGTATACATATGTATATAAATTCATTTTTACAGAGGTTTAATATCATACAGCCTACTCTATATTTTTTACTTAATAATGTATCTTAGACACAGATTTCCATGTAGATAAGAAGTTGATGATTTAGAGATTTTGCTGAAGTAATCAACAGGAAGACCAATGTTTTGTTTATACTGTCCAGCAGATCTGAACAAATGTTTAGAGGCTACCAGCACTACAAAATAGTAGCCCAAGGGGGAAACTCACAAAGATGCATGGAAAGCTATCTCACTCTTTTAGTGAAACTGAAACTGCTTGTGAAAATTAGCATATTTCATATGTTTATTGGCCGTCGTGATTTTCTTTTCCTCTGTCCATTTTCTATGAAGATTTCTTTTGCTTATAAATGTATAGAAGTCCTAGTTCTTAATAAAGAAACCTTGTGGTTATCTATGATGCAAATATATCTCCCAGTCGGTGGCTTGTCTTTTTGCCCTAAATTAAGGTATATTTTGTTGTAGAGAAGTTCTTTATTTTATTTTGATCAAATTTAGCAATCTTCTTTATGATTGTGATTTTGTGTACCTTGTTTAAAGAGGCTTCCCTATCCTGAAGACACAGATACATTCTCAATGTTTTATTTTAAATGTCTTTAAGTTTTGCTTTTCACGTGTACTTATTTATTCCACTGAGGTTTGTTTCTGTGTGTGGTATGGAGTAGGTATCTAATTTTATTATTCTCCTTTAAAAAAAAAAAGCTATCCTATAGCCATTTATTATATCATATCTCCACCATCTCATAATGCTAGCTCTGTCATAGCAAGTGGCCATATATGTCTCAGCTCATCATTCTGTCCATCATACCAAAGTAAAGAGGTATCCCATGGAAGAAGAGGACCCAAGCCCCCAGTGGAAAGGCCAGCCTTTAGGCAATCTAAAGTATCTGTTTAACAAGAAGGGAACACAATGTTGATATTTTCACTAACCTTTCTTTGATTATTTGTTCCATCTATAGGATGGAGAGACAACTCTTAGTGAGTATTTCCCAGGTTATCTCCTCTACTGTTAATCTGTCTCGCTGCTGGGTTTGTCATCCTAAATCTCATTCGGTGCAAATATTTCCATATATGATTCCTGAATTTGTAGAAGCTGGTCTCTCAGATCACCTACAGGGTGCAACCAATAGCTCTGCACTCAGAGGTCCCACGTTTCTTTCTTACCCAGCCCTGTATCTTTACCATGGTATAAATAGGTATAAACCTTCCATCTAAAACATCGCCCCCATACAGCAGGAAGTAGCTCAACGACTACGTTGCCCGTCCTCCCATAGATACAGAAGGATAAAATTGACAGTGGGAAATACAGAACAGAGAGAACGGCCTAAAAAAGGGTAAAAATGTTTACACATTGTCTCTTTAAAACTTCCACCACTCTTTTTGGAAATTAAAACCTGTATCCCTGCCTCAGGCCAGTGATCCGGAGAAGCAGGGGAGTAACCTTTGTTCTTTATACCACAGGAGATGGCTCAACGGAATTGTCCAGGCAGAGGCCACAAGATTGTCTTTGCTGTAGATGGGACGGATCAGAATCATCAACTATAGTTAAACAGCAATAGCCTGAAGTTGAAAACCCTCCCTTTAAAAGCTCTGTATTTCTGCTTATAGTTAGGAAAATTAGTATTTTAAGACAGGAGTCTGACATTTTCCTCATTTGCCAGCAAATTAATAAATCTCCTTTTGCTTCTCTTAAAAAAGTAAAAGATATATATTTTCTGTCATATTTGTTCCTAGGTACCTTATATTTCTGCTGTTGCTATTGCAAGTGGTAACATTTTTTAAATTACAGTTCCTATATGATGTCTGAGATTTGCTTCAACACATAATGACAGTAATGGCTTTCTTTCTGATCAACTGAATAAAATGAGAATTCACGAGCCTATTCTTATAATAAATAAAAACTAAAAGGGGATGGAATGTCAATTCGTAAATGTATAATAGATGGAATGAGAGAGTTATAAATCACTGTTTGCAACCATCATAGTAATAACTGATTTAGATAAGAATCATTAATAATTCTAAAATTAGCTTCTTAAAGTTCAATGAGGGGCTGGGCGCGGTGGCTCACGCCTGTAATCCTAACAGTCTGGGAGGCCGAAGCAGGTGGATCGCTCAAGGTCAGGAGTTCGAGACCAGCCTGAGCAAGAGTGAGACCCCGTCTCTACCAAAAAAAATAGAAAGAAATGATCTGGACAACTAAAAAATTATATAGAGAGAAAAAATTAGCCAGGCATGGTGGCGCATGCCTGTATTCCCAGCTACTCGGGAGGCTGAGGCAGAAGGATTGCTTGAGCCCAGGAGTTTGAGGTTGCTGTGAGCTAGGCTAACGCCACAGCACTCCAGCCTGGACAACAAAGACTCTGTCTCAAAAAAAGTAAAGTATATGAATGAATGGTTTTTAGTATATTCAGAGTTGAGCAATCATCATCACGATTTAAATTTGGAATATTTCCATCATCCCCAAAAGAAACCCTGTACCCATTAGAGATCATTTCCATTTCTCACCAACCTCCACCCCCCCCCAGCTCAGGCAACTAGTAATCTATTTTCTGTCTCTATGGATTTGCCTTTTCTGGACATTTCATATAAATGGAATCATACATTGTGGTTCCTTGCAACTTGGCTTCCTTTACTGAGCAAAATGTTTTCAAGGTTCATCCATGTTAAAGCATGTATCAGTACTTCACTCCTTTTTTTTTTTTTTTTTTTTTTGTGAGTCTGCGTGTGTTTCTGTTGCTCGGGTGCCGTGGCGTCAGCCTAGCTCACAGCAACCTCAAACTCCTGGGCTCAAACAATTCTCCTGCCTCAGCCTTTCGAGTAGCTGGGACTACAGGCATGTGCCACCATGCCCGGCTAATTTTTTATATATATATATGTTTTTTTTTTAATTGTCCAGCTAATTTCTTTCTATTTTTAGTAGAGACGGGGTCTCGTTCTTGCCCAGGCTGGTCTTGAACTCCTGAGGTCAAATGATCCACCCGCCTCAGCCTCCCAGAATGCTAGGATTACAGGCGTGAGCTACCATGCCCAGCCACTTCACTCCTTTTGACTGCCAAATATTAATAACATTCCAACATATGGCTATATCACATTTTGTTCATCCATTCATCAGTTGATGGATATTTGGGTTATTTCCACTTTGGGGCTATTATGAATAATATGCTGGCAACTGTAAATTTTATTAAATCTGAATAACACAAATATAGTATTTCCTAGGAAAATTTAGCATCCAAGTTAAGAGATGCTGCAAGTGTAAAACACAAACCAATTTTCAAAGACTAAAAGAAAAAATAATATAAAATATCTTATTAATAACATTTTTATTTATAATAAATGTTGAGATGATAGTATTTTGGATATATTGATGAAATAAAATATATTATTAAAGTTAGTTTAATCTGTTTCTTTTTCCTTCTTTTAATATAGCTACTAGAAAATCTAAGATAACATATGTGGTTCTGATCATACATCTATCAGCACTGATCTAGATTATTCTGATCCATGGACAAATATATAAACCATTTCAATTCCTTTTAAATCAGAAAATACATATATCCTACCTTTTATGTATAGTCACTTCATAGTCAATTCTAGGTTCCCATTGATTTCTACAGTTAAACTACATGTACCCACAAAGGGAAAAATGTTCCCCAATAGCTGAAAACTTTAGATGAGGAGGAGCTTATAACAATGGCCACCTCTCTAGCACGTGGGGAACTGTAGATCCCCAACTGCATGAGTTCGGAAAGGCTCAGGCACTGTCTTGTCAGCCTTTCCCTAATCCAACTTCTCTCCCCTCTGTTGATGGTGACCCTCTTAGGCCTGGGGCACCCAGAAGACAGGCTCGAGGTTAAGAATCTTCTATCTGCACCTTCTCCTTTTCTCTGGCCTAGTATATCACCCAAAGCCAGTGACAGGACTGCTGCTATCCACTGCCTTTTTGTGAAATAGAAAAGAGAGCATCTCCCTTCAGGCTGGGCAAGTTGCTGACATCTTTGTGTGAAGAAAAAGAATCCCCCCAGGGAGGTGCAGGCCCATACCAGCATGCATGGCTTACTTCTACGAAGATGACTGCCTTGACTCCAACCCACACCACTGCCGGAGGAGGAGGCGGGTCATCAGAATGATGTTATCACATGAAACTAAACAATCTCACTCCTACTAAGCTCCTGTGGCCTGCACTTGAGAGGTCTAGTCTCTGGGAATGACTGATAGGGCCCTGCAAACCTTGTCCTCTCGCACTTCCCTCCTCCAGCCTACACTCTCTCTCCTGTCACAAAAAGACACATAGTTTGTGGCAGGCTGTCCCGACCCGCGGGGTAGTCAACGCGGACCCTGGAGGAGGGAGTGGGAATTGGGAGAGGCAGGAGACACAAGAAATGGAGACAAGACAGGAGTCTGATCAAGTCTCGTTTATTGGCAGTAGGGCAGAGGCTTAAGTAAGGCAGAAAGAGGAGGTAACAGTAAAGGGGCGGTGCTTTCCGAGGCTCTGGCTTTCCAGCCAGAGGATTTCCATATAAGAAAACCCTCAGGCGGCTTTCAAGGGCTACGTCATAATGGGTAAATGGAAACTTACAAGCTCTTTCGCGGGCTTTTGCAAACGCACGGGCTTGGTCGGCCATTTTAGATAAGCAGGCAGATTCACATGGCTAGCGGCCATCTTGGATAAGCAGCTGCCGGGCCTCATGGCTCCGGACAGCAGGCCCTTTGTTCCTAAAAGGGTAAACAACAATGAAGACTGTGCTTTCACTGAGCAGACATCTCATGCCACCCCTGCCAAACTATGAAGGGGCACCGCCTTTCAACAACCAGAGGTTCCATGCCTCCAAGGTATGTAACGTCTCCCAGAGCTTAAGTGGCCAGGCCCACAGGTAACAGGGCAGGGAAGACCCTGGCCCCAGGCTGCCTGTATGTTCCCTTCCTCAACCACAATGGCCATCAGAGCATTAGGACCTCCTCCTGTCCTGGGAAGGCTTTGTGTTAGAATCTTTGTTCTCAGGGACCACTTGCTCAAGGCTTCTTGGGCATGGCTGTCTGGGCCATGGTCACACATATTCGACTCAGAATAAACCTCTTTTAAATAAAAATTAAAAAAAAAAAGAGAGAATCTTTGTTCTCAGAAGATCTGTCAATCATTGTCCACCAACCCTCTTTTCTCCTTCTCATGCAAGGGTACTCATTATCCCTATCAAAAGAAAAAAGCTTACAGGCATCAAAAAACTGCTGTCCATAGGACTCCTTAATATGCACACAGTCTTCTTCCCAGGCTTGCTTCACTTTCCCTAAGGACTTCTCCATGTCTGTCATTCCCGTTTTGAAGTAACCAGGTTCAATTATGCTGATTTTCACGCCAAAATGTCGAAGCTCATACCTGAAATAAGATTCCTCAAGTTAACTCCTTGGATTGAAAGACATCACCATTTCAATGTCTCAGGGAGGGAAAAACAAAACAAAAAAGGTTATTACAAGATTATTAAAATATCTTTCCTGAATATTTTAAAGGATAAGGAAATGGAAAGAAAAAATAAGGATTTAAACATCCTTAGGTTCAACAACTGGAACATGATTATACCAACTACCCTAACGATTCAATTCTGCAATTGCTCTTTTAATAAACAGTTACTAAGTACCTACCATAGGCTAGACACTAAAGGCATGAGGGATAAAAGTAGTGATAAATAAAATTAGCATGTATTATGGCAGGCACTGTGCTAAGTGTTTTACATGCACTCTCTCAGAAGATTAAAACTCAGTTCCTCATCTCAAAAAATTCACAGCAGGTAAGTCCAACAAGTAAGCGAATAATTATAATACAACTCAAAAGAATTATAAAGGAGAGGTATTCAAGGGGCTATTAAAGTACAGAGGAAGATACAGATAGATTTTCTGAGGGAGTCAGGGAAGGCTTCAGTGAGGAGATAACATTTCAATTGAGCCTTACAGTACAGAGTGGAAATTTCCAAGTGAAGAAAAGGGAAGAGTGGCAAACCCAGCAGTAAGAATTGCACATGCAAAAAGCACAGGCCCATGGAAAATTACAGTGTGTTCAAAGACTACAAGAGATCATTAATGATATATGATGTGAGCATTAAAATTACAAGTCAGTGGTCATTGCAGAATATTCAGGTTAATTCAACAAACAGTTCCAAAAATACTTATCAAGGGCTGACTATGTGCTAGGCACTGTACTAAGTGCTGCCTACCCCAAGTGAAGTCAGATGCCATTGCACACCACAGTGGAGTATACTCTGCAGGCATGCTGGAGTTTAACAACCACTGTTCTAAAGGAAAAGTCTCCCTTATCAAAGCAAAACCTAAAACCTTCCATGTTAGACTTTCAGAAAAGAGTCTCCAGGTGCCCATGTGTCGAGGGGAAGAGGAAAGGGCTATACAAGCCAGAGGCGACTCTGCTTCTCTAAATTTCACTTCCCCTTGGGGTTTCCCACTCTGATTCTTACCACACCACACCACACTTCCACTCCCCTTTAACACTCCCATCCAAATGCAGGACAAAACTTCCTTTCCTTGTTTATCCTTAGCACAACTAGGGAGAACTTATATTTTCTAAAGGAATTAAATAGTGATTGGAATGTTGGAATGATAGATCTTTGCTCTTAGTCTAGGAAAGAGGCAAGGAGTCCAAGAGATCAGTCCTAGGTGGTGATAAATCAGTGGCCACCAGCTCAGTGCAACAGACAGAACGTTGGATAGGCAGGAAGCCAGGTGAGATGCCTGCCACGAGGTAACAACTCATGTAATTTCCTTGGCTATGTCCCTGTTTCCTTCCTAGGCAGGTAACATAACATGCAAACTATCACACTCACATACCTACCAGTCATGGTATGTGATGAGCTAAATAATGGCCCCCAAAGATATAAAGTCCTAATCCCTGGAACATGTAAATGTTACCTTATGTGGCAAAGGCTTTGCAGATATGATTAAATTAAGGATCTTGCGACAGGGGGATTTGCCTAGATTCTCTGAGTGGGCCCTAAATACAATCATAAGCATCGGAGGCAGACCTGATGACTGACAGCGTTGGAGGCAATGTGACCATGGAGGCACAAGCCAAAGAATGCTAGAAGAGGCGAGTAATGGATTCTCTCCTAGAGCCTTCGGAAAGAATGTGGCCCTGTCAACACCTCGATTTTGACCCAGTGACACTGATTTCGGACTTCTGGACTCTTGAACTATGACAAAATAAATACATGTTGTTTTAAGATATTACACACCATAAATTACTTGTGATAATTTATTATATTAATAGTAGACACAGAAAGTGAATACATGCTGCCTATAATATTCACAGCTCATTTCCAAGTGAAACTTCCCCAAGGTCAGCCCCTGCTAAGGGGAGTTTGTAGAGCAATTCTTAGTGCCATGTGACTACACCCTCATGTCCACAGCTGATTGGACCAGGGAGGGTACTTGACGGGACGAGAGCCCCTCTTAGGGCTAGACAGTGGCTCTGCCTATTATTTCCTATATGACCACAGGTGAATTACTAAACCTCTGCACCTCAGTTTCCTCAGATGTACAAAAAGAATAAAAATAATACCTTCCTCATTAGGTTGCTAAGAAAGTTAAATGATTTAGTGGAAGTAAACTACTTATAATAGTGTCTCACACATAATAAGTGCACAAAAATGTCACACAATGTGGTGTTACCTGGCACATACACACACAAAACAAACTCAGCCAGTAGGATTCTCTCAGGAATTAAAATATAAGGGAAATAGGCTGGGCACGATGGTCCTGTAATCCCAGCTACTCAGGAGGCTGAGGCAGGAGATCATTTGAGCCTAGGAGTCCAAGGCTGTTATCCCTATGATTGTGCTTGTGAGTAGCCACTGCACTTCAGCCTGGGTGACATAGTGAGGCCCCATTCTCTTTAAAAATATATATATAAATGTATATATATGTATGAATTATAAAGGATAGAAGCAACTGGTACAGTGGCTCATGCCTGTATTCCTAGCACTTTGGAAGGACAAACCAGGAGGATCACTTGAGACCAAGAGTTCAAGACCAGCCTGAGCAAGACAGCAAGATCCCATCTCTACAGAAAACAAAAAAAATTAGCCAGGCATAGGCCAGGCACGATGGCTCACACCTGTAATCCTAGCACTCTGGGAGGCTGAGGCGGGTGGATCATTTGAGCTCAGGAGTTTGAGACCAGCCTGAGCAAGAGCGAGACCCCATCTCTACTAAAAAAAAAATAATTAGCTGGACAACTAAAAATGTATAGAAAAGCTGGGCATGGTGGTGCATGCCTATAGTCCCAGCTACTCGGGAGGTTGAGGCAGAAGGATCGCTTGAGCCCAGGAGTTTGAGGTTGCTGTGAGCTAGGCTGACGCCACGGCACTCTAGCCCGGGCAACAAAGTCAGACTCTGTCTCAAAAAAAAAAAAAAAAAAAAATTAGCCACTCATAGTGGCATACATCTGTAGTCCCTGCTACTTAGGAGTCTGAGGTAGGAGGATTGCTTGAGCCCAGGAGTTTGAGGCTGCAGTGAGCTATGATGACACCACTGTACTCCACCTGGGGTGACAGAGTAAAACTCTGTCTCAAAAAAAATAAAATAAAATAAAATGATTTGGGTCAGGTCTGGTTGCATTCTTGATCTTCTTTCCTGTAATATATTGAGGTAACAGGGAGGGGAAGGGAAGTTCATTGTTCTTTTGATGGGTCCATCTGGTTATGCAGATAGAGGAAAAGCCCCTTCCAAGGCCTTTTGATCTCTAAGGGCCTTTAATTCAAAATACTCTTTATACCAAGGAGTCACATTTTGGGGTGAAACATCCTGAGCTCCTTCAGTCTAAACAAGATTTTTCTCTTTGGACTGGGTATGGGAGGGAGAAAAGAAGCCTGGCTGGCAAGGTGATCCTGTTGTGCAGATAAACCTCATGGTAACAGCCCTCAAGGAAACGTTTTTATTTGGACCTTTAAGGGTGTTAGACTCTATGCAGACCCATCCCATATCTAATACGCATTTAACAGAGGTTCTTTACAAATGCAAATCTCTCCCCCAGCTTCCTGACCTAGACAACCTTGCAGCGTATTCCTGTTTGCCTGTAGTCACCTCAAAATGTGACAAAGAAATGTATTTTGGGTTAAAATATTTCTTACTTCCTTCAGCCCTGAAAAAAAAAATCCTTTTAGATATATAGCCCCCATAAAATGAGTACATGTCAATTATAATCTTAGGACTGTAGCCTGAATGAACTCTTAAATGTCGATTTCAAGTTTATCTCCACAAATGTAAGCCAAGGGAGAGATATGATCACTCTTCTACTCACCCTGAGAAGATTCACAACATTGACTACTTCCTCTACCCACATTCATGAATGTTCATCTTATCTTATGTAGATTTACTGGACACCAAATAGAAATTCACAAGAATACCATCAATTGCCTTGCTGCTCACCTCTTTCACCCCTCCCTTTTTCCTGTGCACTCCCTTTTTCCTTTAAATGCAAAATCCTCAACTTCTTCTACAGAGAGCCCAGTCCACAACAGATATTTGTGGGCTGTGCTTTTCCTGAGTGCATCCTTAAAATCTTGGCTTAATAAACCTCAATTGAGTGTGACTCTTTTTCAGTCACGTACTATTTAACAGTTTCCTATATAAAATAGACTAGTAAAAATTATCTATGTCTCAAGATTTTGAGAGTGATGAAAAAAGATAAGGTAGGTGAGGGCAACTAGCACAATGCCTAAGACATGTTTAAGAGCTCAATCGTTTTTGTTTTAACATAAAAGAGTTACCTCAGAATATCCGAAAAGGCTTCTACCCCATACTTGGAGCAACAATAGATTCCAGCAGTGGAGGCAATTTTTCCCAGAATGGTGGAGACATTGACAATCCTCCCCCAAGCCCTCCTCACCAAGGGAAGCATGCTCACGGTCATCTGGATCAACCCAATGAGGTTCACTTTGAGGGTATTCACAGAGTCTTCCGTTTTCTGCCACTCACAGTATGTAACTGGGGCAATAATGCCTGCATTGTTGACCAGGCCCCAAAGTCCTAGAACAATAAAGTCAAATCAGGAGTTTGGTTTCAGGCAAAAATTATGTCTTGAACTTTGGTGTTGGAGAGAAGGGTAAGAATCACTCCTGAGGAATCATCTATTCCATATGAGAATTTGCAACCCAAATTCATACTACCTGGGTGGTCTAAAAAAACCTCAAGCCAAGAAGTAAGTTTAAGGTGGCCATGTGTTCTGAGTGCTCCCAGGCACCTGATAGAAGCAAACATAAACACTCTCTGGCGGGAGCCAGGTGAAGTGGTGTGTACCTGTGTAACAGAGGTAAAGGTCTGAAAAAAGGCAATGAAATGTTTCACAAGTTGTCTCTTTAAAACCCCTCCCTTTCTGGGAATTAAAATGTCCATTCCTTCCCGAGGCCAGTGATCAAAGAGGCAGAAAAATGTTCTTTGCTGTTTGTTTTCTATTTTCTTAAACTGCAGGAGATGGTTCAACAGAATTATCCGGGCAATGGTCACAAGATGTCGTCACTGGAGATAAGGTTGCAATAACCCAAGATCAAAACCACTGATTACAGTTAAATAACAATAACCCAAAGCCATGACATATGACAGGTCACATAGACCCAAGCCCAACAGCTGAAAATCATCCTTTTAAAAGCCCTGTTTTTCTGCATAAAGGCGGAATGGTGGTCTTTGAGATGCTAGTGTGCCACCTTCCTCATTTGCCGGCAAATTTAATAAACTTCTCTTTCCTTTTTCCTCAAACCATTTGTTCTTGTTCTTCAGTCTTATTGATTCAGCCTCAGGGACAAGTACCGAGTTTTCAATAACACCTGCAGTCCCAGCTACTTGGGAGGCTGAGGTGGGAGGATCACTTCAGTGCAGGAGTTCAAGTCCAGCCTGGGCAACATAGCAAGGCCCTGTCTCTAATTTTTAAAAAAAGCCTTTCTGAAGGAATCTATCTCAGGCCTCAAGGAATCACCAGAGAGAGTCTCTAAGAAAAGCAGTAGCTCTTTGTTACAAATTACTAAACACACAAGGAAGCAAAGCATCAAATGCAAGAACCAGCAGAAGCAACAGAAAGCAGAAAAAGACTAATAAAGACTTTAGAAACCAGAAAGACACTAGAATTAAAAGACATGTAATATAAAATAAGTATGCCAAATATCATTTTAAAATAAAAGAAGGGATTGAAGGAATTAATAAAGACAAGATACTGTAAAATTGATCAGGCAGATTTGGAAAAGAACCAAATAGAACCTCCAGAAATAAAAGATACAACTAAAATTTTAAAATTTAGTGGATAGGTATAATAGCAGATAGACACAGTGGAAAAGAGAAAGTAGTAAACTGGAAGACAGAAAAAGGAAAATATGTGGACTGCAGCACAAAGAAAAAAGAGATTAAAAAACGTGAAAGAAAAAGGAGGCAAGAACAAAGTAAAAACATCTAACATGTGTCTAATCAGAAAGAAAGGTGAGGAGAAGTGGAATCAAGGCAATATTTGAAGTAATAATGCCTGAGAATTTTCCAGAACTGATGAAAGACAATAATCCACAGATTCAAGAAGCCCCCAAAAAACCTGAAGCAGTATAAATAGAAAAATTCATACCTAGACACACCAAAATAAAACTCAAAGGAAAAATAAGTTCAAAGAAAGAGAATATCCTTAAAAAGCCAGAAAGAAAAGACAGATTATTTCCAAAGGAAAAACAATTAGGCTGACAACTGACTTGTCAGCAGCAACAACAGGAGCCAGAAGACAGTGGAATGGTATCGTCAATGTGCTGACAGAAAATAATTATAAACTTAGAATTGCCTATTTGGTAAAAATATTTTTCAATAACAAGGACAAAATAAAGACATTTTAAGAAATGTAACCCCCATAATGTGCAGAAATTTAAAAAAAAGAAAGAAAAAAAAGAAATCTAAAAAAAAAATAGAGATTTTTGCCTCAACATCTCTAAATTCTAAATTTGAAGGAATGTATTCAGTCAGGACACATGTAATCTTAGATGGAAAATTCAAGAAAGAATAATAAGAAAAAAATGGTAAATAGGGCATAAATGTACCAAACATTATATCTTATAGGCCCAAAAAGCAGAACTAAAATACACAACAGCAACTGCATATATGAGTGTGTCAGGAAGGGTGACGGGAATTCAAGTGTTCTGAGGGCCTTGAGTGACTAAGGAGAAAAGTAAAGATACTAATTTTACATTTGACTAAACATACAGTTAAAATTTCTGGAGGAACCACTAAAGAAATATAGAGTATATTATAGTACTTTCAGTTTAGTAATGGGAAAAGTGGAATAAAAAATTCAATCAGTTAAGAGAGGAAAAAGGAAACAGAAAAAAGTGGGACCAAAAGAAAAGCTCAAAATAAGATGAGCCAGGGGCGGTGGCTCGTGCCTGTAATCCTAACACTCTGGGAGACTGAGGCAGGAGGATGGCTTGAGGTCAGGAATTCGAGACCAGCCTGAGCAAGAGCGAGACCCCAGTCTCTACTAAAAATAGAAAAATTAGCCGGGGGAGGCTGAGGCAGGAGGGTCACTTGAGCCCAGGAGTTTGAGGTCACTGTGAGCTAGGCTGATGCCACGGCACTCTAGCCGAGGCAACAAAGAGAGACTCTGTCTCAAAAAAAAAATTAAGATGAAAGAAATAAATCCAAATGTATCAATAATTAAGTATAGATGAATGAAATGTTCTAGTTAAAAAACAAAAATTCAGACTGGATTATTTTTTATATCAGCTATATGCTACTTACCAGAGATTCATATAAAATATGGAGATACAGAAAGATTGAAAGTGTAAGGGTTGAAAAAGGCTCTGAGGTGACAATTCTTTGTAAATGAAGGAATAGTAATATTATCCAGGAAGCAGTTGGAAATTCAAGTGTCAGGAGTAAGAGAGAATTTAGATATCAAGGGCATAAAGGCAATAGATAAACTATGAGTATATGGGATCCTTTCAGCATTATTTGAGTCCTTAACATGTACCAGGCCATGTGCCAGAAGCTGGAAATACAGTAACGGCTCAGAGACGCCCATACCCTCAGGGAGCTCACAGTCTAACAGATGGGAAAACAATAACAATACAATAGAAATAAACAGGTGTGCATAGTACAGAGGCCATATGCACACTAGCCTGGGCAACAGAGCGAGGCCCTGTCTAATAAATAAATAAATAAATAAATAAATAAATAAATAAATAAATAAAATAGGGGCAAACTTGGTGGAGGGAAAATATAGGAACTCTGTATTTTCTGGTCAATTTCCTAAAACTCTAAGAAATAGTGTATTGATTTGTTTTTTTATTTCAGCATATTATGGGGGTACAGATGTTTAGGTTACATATGCTGCCCTTGCCCCCCTCCTCCCCTAAGTCCGAGTTAGTGTATTGATTTTTAAAAACAAATAAAACGAAATGAAATTTTTTTTTTTTAAAAAGAGGACTAAAGGCTGACTTCAAGGAATGCCTATATTTTAAGTAGCAACCAAGGGAAGATGAATCAGTTTCTTAAGAACACCTTGAAAACTCTTCAAACATAAAGAATTGTGTTTATAAACAGTCTACCTGCAAGGTGAGATAATGGCCTCAAATCTGTTGAGCTCATTTTTCAATATAAACATTGTTAGGGAAATGAAACAGCACGAAAGGTCTTGACAGTCCTTCAAATGACAAAGCCCGCCTTTTAAGCCCCGCTTTTGATACATACAGTTGATGCCTCCTATCCGTGGATCCAACCAACCATGGATGGGACATATTAGGAAAAAAATCTACATCTCCGTACTGAACACGTACAGAATTATTCTTCTTGTCATTATTCCCTAAACAATACAGCATAACAACTATTTACCTTGTATTAGGTATTATAAGTAATCTAGAGATGATTTAAATTATACGGGAGAGGCCGGGCGCGGTGGCTCACGCCTGTAATCCTAGCACTCTGGGAGGCCGAGGCAGGTGGATTATTTGAGCTCAGGAGTTCGAGACCAGCCTGAGCAAGAGCGAGACCCCGTCTCTACTAAAAATAGAAAGAAATTAATTAGACAACTAAAAAAAATATATATGCAAAAAAAAAAGGAGCCGGGCATGGTGGCGCATGCCTGTAGTCCCAGCTACTCGGGAGGCTGAGGCAGGAGGATCGCTTGAGCCCAGGAGTTTGAGATTGCTGTGAGCTAGGATGACGCCACGGCACTCACTCTAGCCCGGGCAAAAGAGTGAGACTCTGTCTCAAAAAATAAATAAATAAATAAATAAATTATATGGGAGAATGTGTATAGGTTATATGCAAATACCATACCATTTTATATCAGAGACTTGAGCATCTAAAAATTTTGGTATCCACAGGAAGTCCTGGAACCAATCCCCCATAGATACCGAGGGACAACTGTATATATAACCTTAGCATCTTCATACTTGAGTAAATGAAAGGAGAAAATACTTCTTCATACTTCTGTCTCCCACACGTTCCTTCACCCACTGGGTGGCTGCAGTGATGCTCTCCGTCTTGGTGACATCCAGAATCACCGTCTCCAGCCTGTCTGACATCTGGGTCCTCAGCTGCTCGGCCCCCTTCTCCATCAGACACACAGCCAGCACCCTCAAGCCGTGCCTGTCCAGCTGTCTGGCCACCAGGTTCCCAAAGCCTGAGTCCCAGCCCGCGATGAAGATGTACTTGTCCCGGAAGTGGCTCACCACCTGCCTCTCCCGGTACCAGCGCACAAGGTAGTACAGGCCCACGAGGGCTGCCACGTACAGCCACATGTTGAGGGTACGTCCTTCAATAGAAAGAGAACAGCTTTCATTTTATTCCTTCCCTTTTTCTTTAAGCAATATCTATTCAGTATTTACTATGTGCCAGGCATTGCACTAGGTACTGGGGACTCAGTATAGGCTAATACTTGGTCCTACCATCAAGAAGCCACAGTCTAGAGAGGGGACTCAGGGAGGTGACCGAACAAACGCAGTGCAGTGTGACAGGTGCCATAACAGAAGTATACGCACAGTCTCAGAAAGCTGTAAAGGGGGATTACCCAGAGCCTGTCGAGTTAGAAATGGCTTCATAGAATCAATGACTTCGGTACCACTTCCTATAGCACAAGTGAGAGTTCAAAAAGTGGACAAGGATGAAAGGACATTGCAGGTAGTAACAATGCATAGACGAGTGGAGTAGTGAGCAGAACAAAACTTCCTGATACCTACAAGCAGCTCTGCAGGGGTGCAGTGCAGAACACACAGGGGAAGGGATGGGGGATGAGGCAATGAAGGCCAGATCATGAAGGGCCTTGTAGGCCACACTAAGGAATCCGGACCTTATCCAATAGGCAATGAAGGAGTGCTACTAGAAGACATTAAGCTACAGAGTAAGATGGCCAGATTTAGCTCTAGGAAGATCTGTCTCACAGTGACAGTGGAGGACAGATGAAATGGGTGTGGTGAAGGCAGGGAGATCAGTTAGGAGACCCAGTAATTTGGGTGCGATATTGCAGCCAAAGCAATTTGTAAATATAGACCAATCAGAAGTATTGTTGAAATAAGCATTCGCAGATGCCTATGTTTCTAGATGGGGTTCTGGAGCAAAGTCCACCATTTTTTGGCCATCTATAGTATAGGTGTTGGCTGAACTAACATCATTCATAACAATAGATAGAGGTCAAAGGTGGGTGTGGGCCCACTAAGACATCCTGAATGAGGTGTGCCTATGCAATTCAAACTCCGTAGTTTGACACATATGCTCTGCCAGTGCTCTGGCCACTGACTTCCTCCTTGGTCCTACCCTGGCTGGCACACTATTTGATAGATGAGCACTGAGAGATTAAGTACAGCACTGGACAAAAGAGGGGACAAGATTGGTCCAGGCATATTTTCCTGACCTCTCTTAACCTGCCCCTTGGTCTAGCAGAATTGACTACTCCCTCCACAGTGAATGGCACATAGCACATGCTTAAAAAATGTTATAGATCAATTAAGTAATTCTAAATCAAAATATCCTAAGAAAAAAGAGAGGGAGAAAAAAAAAAATATCAGGGAGAATGAGCCAGAGAAGTGGGAGAAAAAGCTGATGGAAGCCAAGGGAAGAGGGCCTTGGTGAGGACCAGCAGTGTGGCAGGGAGGCCCTTGTGTGTTAGGAGGGCACTGGTGACCTCAACAGGAGGGCTCTTTGGGAGCAAAGGGCACAGAAGCCAATCCTGAGCAGGCTAATGGATGAATTGGAGAGCAGGAAATAGAGCCAAGTGGAGACTCTTCTTTCAAAAGCCTGGACTGTGAAGGACAGAAAGGAACCAGTAGCTAGAAGGCAATGTAGGGCGTCCGGGAGTAAATTGGAAGGAGACAATGAGGGGAGAGAAATGCTGACAGAAGCATCTAATGCTCCCTCCCTCCCTCCCTCTCTGTCCTCTCTTTTTCTCCTTTTTCCTTCCCCTTCCCCCTCTTCACTCCCCTCTCTCTCCTCCCTTCTCTGAAGCTTTCTGCCTCTCTCCAATTTGAGAACTGTGTTCTCTGGCGAGCTGCCTCTGTTCTGCCCTATTGGCATTCCCTGGTGGACTGCAGTTACAGAAAGGGCTTTATCCTGCCTGTTTATTCTCTAAAAGAGTAATTTCCTGATTCCAATCAAAGATGAAAATCCATTTCCCCCATTAGGGAGAAGTTCAGACCTCACAGCCTCCCCGGGTATTTCTATCCAGCCATCACATGCCTAGTAGCAGAACTTGCAGGAGAGATGTGTCAGCAGCATCTCTAAACCCAGGCCAAACCTGAACACGGATCAAATACCTGAAGATGCCCTGAATATTTCAGATATCAAACCCAAAGGGGCCTGCTCGTTTCTACAAACCATTCATCTACAAAAGCTGTGCAATTACTTGAAGTTTTGCTTTTTTTTTTTTTTTTTTTGAGACAGGTCTCACTCCATTGCCTGGAATAGAGTGCAGTGGCATCATCATAGCTCACTGCAACCTCACACTCCTGGGCTCAAGCAATCCTCCTCCCTCAGCCTCCCAAGTAGCTGGAACTACAGGCATGTGCCACCATACCCAGCTAATTTTTCTATTTTCTGTAGAGACAGGGTGGTCTCACTCTTGCTCAGGCTGGTCTTGAACTCCTGAGCTCAAGCAATCCTCCCACCTCAGCCTCCTAGAGTGCTAGGATTATAGGCATGAGCCACTGCACCCAGCCCTGTTTTTGGCTTCGACCTGAAAGATTTACATACAGTGCTTACATTGCTATTTCTTGATTTATTAATGTTTGACATTCTCCATTAACTTCCTGTTATGGGAAATGAGAATTTAGCTTCCTTATACCATATTGTCTGTCTCTTCCCTTCTCATCCACACAGTGCTTCCTCGTTAATTTTCTTTAATGAGCTTTGAAGTTGAATCTAGACAACACCTGCATAATCACAACGCATAAGCTAAGACCTTCCACTGTTCACTTCAGGTGTGCCCCCATCTTGGTCTCCATCATTGACAGCAGCTCCCACAAAGATCTTGAACAGCTGAGACTATCTTTGGGGCTCTTCCCCTTTCCCCTCCTTCCACTCTACCTGAAACTTTCCTCCCACCGTGCCTCTCTTTTCTTCAGCCTCTCTCTATCACTACAATCCTCTCATGGTTTCATTGACCTCCTTATTCAGCCTGGGTCTCATGATTGGCCATTTTAGGGATGCTTCACTAGCACCCCAAAACCTTTACCATCCACATTCTCTAATTGCCACCTGCCAAGTGGTGCTAGAGCAAGGTCAGAAAACAAGCTTGTTATTTCTACAACAAATCGATGCTACACTGTTTCAGCCCTTGCTGATACAAGGCAAACCTTCTGTTTACCTCTACTTGACTCCTACGTTATGTTTTCCCAACTATTCCAAATATTTATCAACCTTCTCAATTTCCCAACCTCATGTTCGTCTGGCTGTCCTTCTCCAGAGGAGCCTACATCTTCCTTGTTTGCCTGCCAAAATCCAGATCAGCTCAATCTCCATCCTCCCCACTTCCAAACCAATGGCCTGGACACTCTAATTCATATCCACATTTACCTATCATTTCGGGGGTTTCCACTGAGGGTACCTCTGCTCTAAATGTCTCCATACCGTCTTCTATCCTCCTTCTTTTTTCTTTCCTCCTCCCTTAGACCATCCTACCCTGCCACCCTTTAATGACCATCCTCTCTCTTTTTCTCTCTCTCTCTTTCACCCCATATGGCCAAAATATTCAAAGAGCATATGCACAGGGCCTCTATTTTCTTGGCACCCATGAGCTCCCCAAGCCCTTGCACTCTACCTTCCATTCCCATCACTATCTGGAAACCCTCTGGGAGCTCACCCAGGACCTACTAGGAGCCAATGCCCAAAGTCCTTCCTTTCTTCCTCAGACCTCACTACAATATCTAGCGCTTTCAGCCAGGTGCTGTGGCTCACGTCTGTAATCCTAGCACTCTGGGAGGCCTGATCACTTGAGGTCTAGGAGTTTGAGACCAGCCTGAGCAAGAGCGAGGCCCCGTCTCTACTAAAAATAGAAAAATTAGTCAGGTGTGATGTCCCATGCCTGTAGTCCCAGCTACTCGGGAGGCTAAGGCAAGAGAATCACTTGAGCCCAGGAGTTTGAGGTTGCTGTGACCTAAGCTGATGCGACAGCACTCTAGCCCAGGTGACAGAGCAAGACTCTGTCTTAAAGAAATAAATAAGTATCTAGCACTTTCTTTTTCCTAGTGCTTTTACCTGATTCTTAGATTCTAACCTGGTCCTGGGTAAAGGAGGAGATTTCTTTCAGATCATGCCATGTACTCATTGCAATCTGTCTGTGGCTCCCTGTCACTCATAAGATAAAGTCAGACCTCTTTAGCTTGACACATAATAATAATAGTGAACAGTTATACAGGACTTTCCTGTGTGCCAGGCATTGTTTGAAACCCTATATATATATACAACATAAACTATGACAGTTATTAACATTATGCCTATTTTTCATATGAGTAAACTGAGGCACAAATTAAGGCAAAAATTAAGTGGCTTTTCCAAGGTCAAAGAGTGAGTAGTAGAGACAGGATCAAATCTGTCTACCTGCAGAAGCCTTGCATCTAACCACTACACCACACTACCTTGCCCTGGAAGACCTTTCAGGGTCTGGCCCTGTCCTGTGTTTCCCCCTCAGCTCCTGCCTCTCACAACCAGAAGTCATGGTTTGACCCTTCTGACTGCCCAATCTGGGGAACGTGCCCCTCCCTTGACTTCCACTGTGGCTGTCATAGTGCCCATTCCCTTACTTTCCCTCCAGCTCTTCCTCTCCCTCTACACCCTAAATGGAAGGATTCCCCATGCCTCTTGCTTGGCCTACCAAAGAAGGCTTCTCACTGTCCCCACAATGTCATTCTCACTTCTACACAGTGATGTCTGGTTAATTTTCCTATAGCACAGCTCTTCTGATGTTACTACTGGAAAAGCATCCAACCGACTAAATAAAATCTAAATCTAAAACCTCAGTTAGTTATACAAGGCACCCCCTGATTGAGTCTCAGCCTTTCCTTCCTCTCCTCCTTCTCACACAGCCTATGGTCCATCCAAACCACAGAGCTTTTAAATGGAGAAGTGTGATTTGATGAGCCTCCTAGGACAGGCAGTATTTGACATGCAGAGATGAGAAGCAAGGGCATTTTGGGCAAAGGGAATGGTGAGAATAAACAGTTGGAACATGGAAAGTACAGGGCACAGACAAATGGAGATACCAATGAGACTATCTTGTTGATCCCCTACTTACTTCTCCTTTTCTTCCTTTCCAAGAAGCCCCCTGCTCCAACCCTGATTTTGTGCAAAATGTAGAGTCAGGAGCATAGACTTTGAGGCCAGATTGCTTGGGTTCAAAGTCAAACTTTATCATTTATTAACACTCCTGTGTGGCCTTTGGCAAGTAATTAGCCTCTGTACCTGTGTGTTTACCTTCAAAATGGGAAAAGAACACCTGGTGATTTGTTGAGGGGATTAAATGAGATAACACAAGTAAAGTACTATATAATTGTTAAATATTAGTCTTCTTTTTATTGCTGTTGTCTTATTATTGCCATCTTAGGCCTTTCTCCCTGAGCACTGCCTCTTCCCTTGGGCTTTCACAGAAGGAACTTTCACCCTGGGAACGCGCATTATCTGGTGCACTATACCACCACTTTTCCACCGGATGTGTAACTCCATGTATTGCAACATCCTCAATCATTTCTACAGTTCTTTATCACTACACTGGGCCATGCTAGCTCTCCTTGATTTTTTTCAACCTCAAGCAGAGGACCTCTCTCTGCAATATAGTACATTATGAAGGAAGAGGCTGCCTTTATTCCCTTCTTTGATTAAAATCTTTAGACCTGGTTTGTCTATAAGCTCCAATTAGACTAGTCACTGATCCTAAGAGTGAGTCTATAAATAGCACATAGCCCCCTGAACTGATCCACCATGAAATTCTTCTGCTCCCACATTGGTGTGAACTAAAATAAAATCTTAAGCAACCCCCCCCCCAGCCAATGAAATTGACCCCTCTTGGCCAAGGGGATCCCAGAAATCCCCTAAAGCTGAGTTGCTGGCCATGAGAAGGGAGGTCAGACATGCTTCATCATGCTCCCCTCTGTTCTTGGAGATATCCTTTGTAACTCATTAACAGGCCTAAGTCTATGCAAGCCAATGCTTAAACCACACCTGTAGGTCATCAATTTACTCAACAGATCACGTGAGTCTATGTCCTATATGTCTAGTGACTTTTCTCTGATTAACAGGCTTCCTTATCTTTTTTTTTAAGATGGTGGATAAATTTTTATTGAGCCTTTTAGTTTACATCATGAGGTAAAAGGAAAACGTTCTCCTTCACCAATATTTTGCACAGCTGTAGTAAAATATTTGACTTCAGGGATTTATAAGGACTACATTTCTCAAAAGTTGGGATCAAGTAAATAAGTTTTAACTTAATTTCTTGAATTTTCCAGTTGACTCTTCCATTACAAGCTCTCATTAGTTACATACATTTTATCATTGCTGATATCTTTAGAACTGAATCACTGCTATTTCAATCAATATCCACTAATTCCACTTCAACAATGAGTTCTGCATTTGGTAGAATTTTGGCATCAGGCTGTCCTTTCCTTCCATAAGCCCACTGGGGTTCGATCTCCAGTCGAGCCTTTTCTCCTTTACTCGTAGTCAAGAGTGCTTCATCCCATCCTCTGATAACTTTGCCTACTTCAACCTTAAAACTTAAAGGGTTGGCGTTTTTCTTCTTCTTTGAACTTGTTTGAATATAAGTATCAAAAACAGTCCCGTCCTGTAGTGTTCCTATATACCAGCAGTGAACAACATCTCCCTTTTTTGGGAAAGTTGGGTTTATCTCCCTTTTTTAGGACAGATTTTGTATATTTTGGTGGACCCTCATCCAGAGTCTCTTCAGACTTGGTTCCTTTGGGTTTATCTTCATTAAGCTTCATATGTTTCACTTACTCAGACACTTTACTTACACTTTTGGTACCTTGAAACACTTAGTTTCAAAAAGATGGATATAGGTTGTAACCAAATGGACCTTGTTACCTGTCTTGGCAACATTTTTAATGTTTCCTAATAATTAATATTCTGCAAGAAACGAATCTGAACTGTGGTCCTACAGAAACTTGATAATGTCCTTCTTGGGCAGCTGCTCCACGGTCCCCACCCGCTGGGGAATGGCTGTCACCATCTTTCCCTGCTACCCTTAACATAAAACATTCCAAGCCTTTAGACAAAGCTTCATGTCTTTAACCAACTACAAATCAAAGATTTTTTAAACTCACCTATAACCTATAAGCCGCTGCTTTGAGATACTCCACCTTTTGGGGCCAAACCAATGTATGCCTTCCATGTATTGATTTATGACTTTACTTGTAATTCCTATCTCCCTGAAATGTATAAAACCAATCTGTAACCCAACCATGGTTAGATCACTTGCTCAAGGCTTCTTGGGCATAGCTCTCTAGGCTCAGAATAAACATCTTTAAATTATTTTACAGAGTTTGAGTTCTCTTCCATTGACATTGAGCTTACAGACTAAGTGTTCTTAAAACCAATAATTGTTTTTTTACAATTAGATGACACTATGCACCCACCATAACGTTTACTGAAAAAGGTTGTTACTGAAAGTTTAGCACTTGTCCCTGAGGCCACATCAGAAGAACAAGAACAGGAAAGGGGAGTTTATTAATTTGCTGGCAAATGAGGAGTATGGCAGACTTGCATCTTAAAGAACCACAGTCCTAACTATAAGCAGAAATATAGAGCTTTTAAAGGAAGGGTCTTCAACTTCAGGCTACTGCTGTTTAACTATAGTCAATGGTTCTGATTGGTCCCATCTTCAGCGGAAGACAATCTCTGTGACCTCCACCTAGACAATTCCATTAAGCCATCTCCTGTGGTACAAAGAAAAAAAAAAGGACACTCCCCTGCTTCTCTGACTACTGGCCTCAGGCAGGGATGTAGGTTTTAATTCCGGAAAAAGAGTAGGGGGAGTTATAAAGAGGCAACTCATAAAACATTTTACTCCTTTATAGGCCATTCCCTCTGTTACAAGGTCGACAATGTGGAACAATTGAGCACTGCTGTTGAAAGAGTAAACTGATTCAATAGATTTGAAAAAAATGGTTTGTCCTTATGTAAAAAGAAAATCAAAATCTCAGGGCCACCCCCCAACTCTTTATACAAAAGAGAAGGTAAAGGCCTCAGGCACCTGTGAAGAACTGGCCACACAGATCATTCATGAAAGAAATTTCTTGCTGACCTCCCATAAGCAAGGACATGTAAATTGCAACTATGTCTAGTGTTGAGGGTTAGGGTCGAGACATGAGAACCCAGGAGTGGGACAGGACTTTGCTAAAGAGCAACCTGTGGATGTGTCAGTTCACTGAGCAAAAGCTGCTCAACCTTGAGGAGGACATTCCACCAATCAGGGATGTCTGCAAATGAACCCCAACTTGAAGCTTGAGGGCCACAGCCTGGATGTCGGCAAACAGACCCAGGCTTGGGATCCGAAGGCAGAGAGAATGATCAAAGGATGTCAGCCCAGCAGATAAGAGCAGTTTGCTATTCTAAGCCTGAAGCAATGTTCCTATCTCTCTCCTCACTTGCTATCTCAGTAAATGAAGGATTAGATAAAGTAGAAAAAAGTATGTGGTCCCTTTGTTCCCGTTTAGATTATACGCTTTACTGCTGAGTCATGATTTTATCTTTAACTTTTGTATGCTTAGGTAGTTAATTGTTACTTTGGGGGACCTTTAAACTTAAACTCATGATATGTACATGTAAATTGGTGACTTATAATAATTGTTTGCTGAAAGACTAAATACTGATGCAGAACTTCATTCATAACCTCCTGGCTCATGGGAATGCTGGAGGGCCCCTGATTTCCCCATCACTTTAATCTACACTTTGTCTCTGTCTCTTTTATTTCCAATCTCTTGCGATGTTCCTGCCTCTGACCTGATTTGTTGGGAGAGTCGTGAACTCCAGGCAGTTTGGCACCAAAAACTAAAGCCTATTTGATTCCATTCTAATAATGAATTGCAAGTTTATCTTTATAGGTAACAGAACTGGAGAGAAGACAGAATGAGACATTATTCCATCTAACCAGAGACATCTACATAATTGGTGCTTCCTCCACGTCCTTTTTCCCTTCTAACGTTTCCTTTATTTTATGTAAAATGTAGATTTCCTGGGCCTCACGAGAATATAACCACTTTGCTTCATCAACACTCACCCCCTAACCCATTCCTTATCTCTATATGCTTTTAAATGCTGTAAGTTCCAACTTCCCCTTTGGAAAATAGCCACAGCCTTTTCTGCGATTTGCGTGTTTTCTCCAGATGCATCCTCAACTTTGGCTTAATACACCTCCATTGATTGAGATTTTTGCCTCAGTCACTTATTTGGGTGGACACTTATCTACCAAAGATAAAAATCCACCTTCCCTACACTCACAGATTCTACTTTTAGGTATACAGCCACAAAATATGTTCACTCTAAGATGTGTGTGTAGCAGAATTATTTGTAATGGCCAAAAGCTGGAAACAGGGCCAGGCAGGGTGGCTCACACCTGTAATCCCAGTACTCTGGAAAGCCAAGGTGGGAAAATTGCTTGAGGCTAGGAGTTTGAGACCAATCTTGGCAACACAGTAAGACCCCATCTCTATAAAAAAAAAATTTTTTTTTTTTTGAGACAGAGTCTGGCTCTGTTGCCTTGGCTACAGTGCCGTGGCATCAGCCTAGCTCACAGCAACCTCAAACTCCTGGGCTCAAGCGATCCTCCTGCCTCAGCCTCCTGAGTAGTTGGGACTACAGGCATGTGCCACCATGCCCAGCTAATTTTTTCTATATATATATTTTTAGTTGTCTAGACAATTTCTTTCTATTTTTAGTAGAGAGGGGGTCTCGCTCTTGCTCAGGCTGATCTCGAACTCCTGACTTTGAGCGATCCACCCACCTCGGCCTCCCAGAGTGCTAGAATTACAGGTGTGAGCCACTGCGCCCGGCCAAAAAAATTTTTTTAAACTAGCCAAGCATGGTAGTATATGCTTGTAGTCCCAGCTCATCAGGAAAATGAGGCAGGAAGATGCCTGAAGCCAAAGAGTTCAAGGCTGCAATGAGCCTTGAGTTCACGGCTGCAATCTCACCACTGCATTCCAGCCTGAGTGACAAAGACTCTATCTCAAAAAAAAAAAAAAAAGGTGAGGAAAAACCCCCTTGCCTTTGGAAATGAGCTAGTCATCAGTTAGTGACATTGATAACTAACGCCACGGCACTCACTCTAGCCAGGGCAACAGAGTG